CACACACGGAAATACGGTTCAACAGTTACAATAAAGATATAAACTAAACATAAAGTATGACCAGTCCGAATTTGCATAAAAGTGCGTGAACATTCAAGTTATACACTTGTTGTATAGAGAATTTTTAGCATGGAGCAAACGTAGTGAAATTTATTTCAAGAGTAAGCGACAGAAAAATTTTGACTGAAAGTTTAGGATGCGAAAGAATGAAATTAAGATAATCGGACAAAGGTTACGAGTCTAAAAGTGAGAGGTCAAGAGTCACCTGGTCAGAAAACTAACATGAAAACTTGTTAGAGACAGTAGTAAAAAGAAAATGAAAAGGTTTAAGGTTGTCGATGAAGCTCCACGTCTATATGCGCTGGTCTCCATGTCAAACGTAGATAACTCATAATCCTTCGTTCTGAGTTTGCCTGAATTAAAATCCATTTCAATACAAAGTTTAAAGAAAGTGAAATCTGAAATTCCTTAACAGTAATTTAAAGTTTCAATTTGACAATTTATATCAGTTATTGAGTTGTCAATCTTATTTTACTTCAGAAATTTAATCAGATTATCTTTAACAGTTCTGTTAAATAATAGAATTTATAATATTTTACAACTTAGTGTCCAAATTTATATTCTTTATGAATGATTATCACTTAGCAATTTCTTTTTTTGAACGTAATTTACTGGTCAAAAACGGCATTCATTAGTTTGATCTAACAGTATTTATTGATTGATAAAAACAACAGAAGCGGGAAAGTTACAATCACTATATACTTGCTGTAACTCTTCGTTATTTTCTGGTAGTTTATGATAATTTTTCCACATTATATTTGAAGTCGTTTATTACTGATAACTTAATGATAATTTTTCCACATTATATTTCAAATAGTTCATTTTTTCAGGCAATAAATTTTTTTCCACAACGGAGCTGTGAAACTTTGTGCCCGAGATTTGAATAAGCAAAGAATATTCAGCACAATTATTTTCTGTTAATTTTTCATCAAAAATTGCAATATTTTAAGCTCTTTTCTGCAAAAATATTCAAATTTTGCAATAAGCTTGCAGGTTCTCTGTAAAGCAAATACGATTTTAATAAAAAATATTAATAAGTGCATACCAAAATAACACTTTTCAATGAACATATCACTAATCAATCGTCCCATCGTAGTATATCCGGTCACGAGCGGTTGTTCAGTGATGCAAAGTTTTCCGTAATCGGTATCTTCTTTTAGAAATGGAAAAAATACGTCTAAATCGGTTGACTCTCGAAAGACAAACGTTTGAGATGCTGTTAACGCTGTTGAAGGACTTTTCAGCGAAGCTGTCAACCTGAAATTACATTTTAATTGACCTTTGTGACATGAAAATTTTAGATAAGTGTTATTTATTTAACTATTTATATCAGTGCTTACAAATTAAGGTTACAATTACGAATCTAATTCCGTCCTACAAATCTTTTGAATGCACTTTTATTTGATTTTACAAACTTTTTTTACCAGTGTTAAATGAAGCAGACACTGGATATTGGATATTGAAAACATCACTTTTAAAATTAACTTTAGATTCGTTGAATAGTTTTCAGAATTTGTTCACAAAAATCACTGAGAGATTCATATTACATATTCAATAAGAGGCTGTGCTATATTTTGAAATTTATAACATATCTAAGTACGACTTTTAATAGTTATCACAAATTATATCTCAAGGAGACTGTATTCATTGTGTTTATGTATGTAAGACTATATACTGTACAGATTATAAATGTGTGAGTACAATACTCTGTTTAAAAACCAAAAGCTTAGGTCATTTTGTTGTGATACAAAATGAAAATTAGGCATGCAATGATTTTTCGATTTATTTTGTTAGAGCAAAATAATTTAATGCAATTGTGTTTGAGTGCAGTCAAAATCAAATTTCAATTCTACCATTTTTGTAACGAATTTACCACTTGAAAAATTTTCAATTACATTTTTGGATGCAATCAATGAGTTGAACTGCAATGGTAAACCCCGCACCAAAGGGTACTTGTGGTAGTGATTATATTAGAGTACCATAAACATTTCTTACTAACAAACTTGCATATTCTTTAATGAATGCTAAATTCACTTGAAAAAAAGCCAAGAAGCCAGTCTGAAGTCACTTTAATACTATAGTAAATATTAGGTTACTGAATAGAAAAAACAGCAAATAATTCAATAATAAATGGTCAGATGAAAATAAAGTTAGATAGTAAATACCTATATCTAAAATATTTTTGAACAATGCGAGCTGCTGGCATCAAAAAGCAGTAAAAAGTTATTAAAATCATAGTTTTAGTGATTTTTTCCACTAAGAAAAATTTAAAAATTCCAACTTGGCTGTTTGCTTTGCAAATTATTACGGCTAATTTATCGATATAATAACAATTTATTTTGATTGATAAATTCACTCAATTATTATTTTTTAATAAATTTCTTTTAAAATGCAAACTGAAGAACAAATGGGACAAAACTTATAAACTTACAAACTTTATATCATAATACGTCACTTATGAGCAGATAAATAAGCTAGCATAATATGATATTATGCATCGCACTTGATAACTGTGATTTTTAATTGATTGTAAATTATTTTATTTCTGTGAAAACCATTTTTTTCGAACTTATGAATTATGCAATGTTATTACTGCTAGTATTGTTACAGTAGTACTAACTGCTTAGTTTGAAAATATTGTTATTGCTAGTAATAAAAGCTTGTTCATCATGATTTTTTACAAGTCAAAAGCTCATGCTCACAATTAATTTTGTTCACTTTGTATTAAAAAGTTTAGATTGGATTTTCTTATTTCATAAATAAGCTATGAAAATTATAAGGACTTTGAGACAGTAGTAGCAAACCGACCTAATCGGAAATTCCACTAGTGATCGGATTCGAAATTGCATCGTTGTTGATGAAATGTCAGTAATTTCTACGTCATTTACGCTAGTTTCAGCGCTTTTACCGAAACGATCTAACGTGCGCAAAATTCGGCAATCAGTTCCGGTAGATTCATTATGACGATTAAAATTTTCCCACTCAACACAGACATAATACCATTGGCGCTCTTTTAAATCTGATATGCTCACCTAAATTTTATTGAATACTTCAAATATTTGCATTTTTCCATATTTTCTACCTTGAAAAATGATAATTACAAGTTTTCAAACACAATCAGCGAATTATCATGCCTCGTCGGTATATTTATTTATTTATAATATCGTATATTTAGTCATTACGTGAGCATATTACGGCGTCAAATCAAGTAGTATATCATTATAATTAACAAGTGATAAATATTTTTGCAGCTTTTCGCATTTAAAACTACTTAAATTTTTCAAGATATAATTTGCTTGACAAATACCATTAATATTTTAGTGTTATTAAAATTAATAATATTATTAAAATTGATTAATCAAAATACTTCAAGGAATTAAGTAAGTATTACTAACATGACCGTTGGTCAGGTAATAACAGATATAAAATAGATATTATCGCCTTTTACTTTCTGCCTACCTAGTCTTTATTCTCACTTACCTTGTAATTATCATAACAGCTCTGTAATTTGTAAAATTACAGTAGCGGCAAGTTGAACGTCAACTTGTCATCAATGCCATAAAAATGGAAATAAATGGCGCAATAGAGGTAAATAGAATGGAAAACCAACAGTGTTTACCATTTTCAATTTATTTTTCTCTTTTTTTAATTTTCAAATATTTTCAGAAATTCATTTCCAAAATGAAAAATATATTCTCTACTCAATTCTTTCCATTAATTTTTGTTTGATTTGTGCAGAAAATGTGATCAAGCAGTTGAAATAAATACAATTCAATCATCAATTAACCGATTTTGAAATGATTGTTTGATTGTAAATTTCAAGCAGTAAATTCAATTAAAATGTTACTCTCCACTGATTATTCTAATATTAATTCAAAAATAATATTAAGAAAATAAAGATCAGACCTGCTTATCATCTCGGATATTGTCTGGATAAAATATTTTGATAGTGGCAGCTTCATCAGCTCTTAGAGGTATGGCTGTGATAAATACTGTTGGAATCTTAATTGGTGCGAGATAAGCGTCTAGAAATGAGTCGAGAAGAACAATTCGAAAACCATGTTTGGTAGCATCCACAAAATTGATCGCTCTGTTCAATTTTATCAATCATTCAAAGCAGTATGATGATTAAATTAAAGTAAACAAAATTAGAATATGAAATTTGATTATTTACAATTTTTTAAAAAATCAAGTAAGCCTGGGTACATAAATTCACTTGTAAATAAATTAAAATTGAGTGAGTTTGTTTGTTTTTATTCCTTTGTAATAATATGAAAAAATGACAAAATTGAGCTGGCTACAATTGTTGATTCAGAAGTTCTGACGTAACTTTATGGATCAAAAAATTACGACAAATTGCAGAAAATTGCCATAGTACATTATTTAAATGAAAATATGTGACTAAAAATATCACTAAAAATTGGAAAATTTCTACTCCAAAAAAGGCATCTACCGAACAAATCTACTCGTTGAGAATTGTTATATGTTACTGCAATTATTCCGTCAAAAATTTTTTACGCAAAAAATAATAACAAGCTTTGCCTTTCGCAAAAACAAACTCAATTAAACGCATCGTTTGCTTACGTAATTTTATGTTTTATTTTTTGTGCATCAATTTTTGATATTACTGATCAAATTCTTTAGCTAAATTAATTTAGCTCTATTTGGATACTTTGAATTACTGTTGATTAGTTTCATTCAGCATAACTTAAAATTTGGTTTTGATCATTTCAGAATCCTTACTAGTTTGTTAATCTCAGCCAAAAAAAAGTTGTTGCATACTTGTTTCTAACTAAATTTAAAAATAATTGCAAAAGATTTATAATTGAATAATTTGAAATGTAACCGAAATTCTAATATTTGTCATCATAGTTTCCAGATTAATATAATAAATAAATTTTTTTGAAAATTTTCGGAATTATTAATAAAAAGTATTTTATACAATTGTAGCAGTAATGCTATTCGTAACGAAGGTCTATACAGTAATTTGCTGCTGCAAAAAATTTACTACTTTACGACTTGGATATGTCAGTAGAGTCAAGTGTAAAGTCTAAAAATTTTGCAAGAATATTCAAATATAATTAAAATAATGCGTTGAGAAACCTGATATTCACGAAGAATCGTTGGTACTTTGGGTTGCTTCGAGAGGAGACAACAATAGTAGCAAGTAGTACAAATAGAATTAATATTAAATGAGCCATTTACAGTAAGATTGGCTTAGTTCAATGGTATTTCTCGGGTGATACCGTCTAAATATTGTTGTGAATAGTATAGAGAGTTGAGGTAGAAAGTTTATTTTCAGTACTGATACAACGGTACAAGTCAGTTAGCACCGAGGGAAGGGAAGAGAGGACGTGAGTGGCTTGGCTAGCGGAGGTAATTGAGGGAGGGCAGCTCGCCTCGGCTCGGCTCTACTCGGCTCCACCAGCACAGCACCGCCACTTAACACCTCGGTAACCGTCGAGAGACAGGTCACTATTGTGGTCGCGATTGAAAACGGTAGAGAAGGCTGGTCTTTCCAAAGCAAATGCAAAATTTTTTTTGCATACGAACACAAAGAATATTCAGTCCTGTAAAAGTTCACAGCCAAAAATGAAAATTGCTTTCACTTCAGCATATCAAAATAATTGAAATTAGTAGTTGTCCACTTCACTGATAACGAGAATGATGACTCTTACTTTATTCATCTTTGGATTACTCATCTATGACCCCTCTTGACCTATTATTAGTGAAAAAGATTTTAGTGCTAAATTCACCACAAGCAATGCTAATGATTTGTTTACATAAATGCAAATAAAAGCGGGTGAAATGGATCGTTGATGGAATCAGAAAGATTAGCACAATGAGCCGTCAGTTCGTTGATTCTTGCAAGCCTTTATTGAATTATCATCGGGATTTCCGTTAATCTTAGACTTTAAATCCGCGCATAGCAAATCCAGTTTACATCGAATTACTCTGCCAATCATCCAGATTTGCCCTTATCAAATTTTAAGCATATGTCACTTAACAAAGCTTCGTAATATATGCATAATGAAAATATTAGACCTGCTTGTTTTTAACAGTTTTTCATGACCGAAATTTCAATTTAAAATTGCGCCACAGTTTATTTTGTTAAGTAATGTCAGTATTTAGTGTTAATAATAATTTAAAATGAACGAACAACAAGTAAAAATTATAACTGAAATCCTAATCTATATTTACTGAACGCTTAATTTAAAAAATTTATAACGCTAGTGCTGTAATATTTCTTCTACACTTTAACAGTCAAATTATTGTGCAATGAAAATATATGTAATTAAAATTTAACTGATTTTTCAATAATCAGTCAACCAATTTTGATGACAGTACCAAAATTTCCCTTTACTAATCGAAATTAAGAAAGCGTTTGAAATTCGATAGTGTGATTAGCGACTGGAAAAAACGTTGTCAGATGAACTTTAACTTAAGAAGTCGCGCAGTCTTTGATTCGTAATTCCAGTCTATTTGTCAGTTCGGGTCATCCAACTTGGTCGAATTCAAGCAAAAATTTCTCTTTCACTGAGAAAGTATTCATGTAGTAAATGTTGCAATTCAATTAAATTATCATCAAATTTGCAGACCTTTTCTTTAATATGAATTTACTTTGAATAATTATAAAATTGCGCAAAATTTGAATTTAAAATGTTTTCTTTTCAGATGATGAATTAAAGATATGAGTAAGCGCTATTTTCGTTAAAGAGCAGATGTCATCGGCTGATAATTTAGATTTGGTTTCACCGAGCCTTTATGACACTTTCAACGCATTTATCTTGTGAGAAAATATCAATGAAAAATATTTCAGCTTGCGCAACTGCCTTCTTGTACTTTCTAGTAATTATATTAAACTTGACCTCTGACCCGCGAAAGATTATATCTAAATACTGTATTGATTTCTTGCTTTCCATCAACACTCCTAATAGAATTCAGGACTAAGTGCTAAAGGATCAAACTTTAAGTAGCAATTCTAATACCATTTTGGTTCATTATAAATCATTCTGACATAATTATTCTTTTAATTTATTTATCAAATATGTGATTCATATTGACAAGTAAGAAAAATACCACAAATGGCACATGGATATAAATAAAATTGAAGCCAACAATTTAATTCAAAGATTAGACAAGAATTCAAATAATGACAAATTAATATTTTCATCAATTTTGAAATAATAATTTTCCAATTTCTAAACAGATGGTAAATCAGTAAATGGAACAAATAAAGCAAGCAATGTCTGCAAATTATTAGATATAAAATTTTCATGATATTGAGGTTTATTGATCAGTTATTTATTGATATTTTAATTTATTTGTTATGTAAAAGTATATATTTATCACTTCCCTTACATTTACCATTTACCATCTACCAGCTGTGCTAAGAATAATACTTGACATTACTGATAGATATTTGAAAAGATTTGCAATATAATTACAAAAATGTCACTGCCATTTCATTATATCCATCAGTTATGATGAATAATCATATCAACGTTCTCGTCGGTAGTGATAACAGTGATGATAATAGTGAATGACAGCAGTGAATGAAGACAAGTAGCTATAATCGAAATGATTGCTTTATTCAAATAAATTTAAATTAAAACTGAATATCAAATTATTTTATTTCTTTTTTACTATGAACCAATTTATTGGCTTTTTGAGCTTTTTAATTAATTATGAGGATTAATATTTTTTTATGAAGGAGTGAAAAGTTACTTGTTTTCAGTGAAAGCGAACTCTAATTATTTTCCAGATGATTCCAAGATATAATTGTCATTGCAAGTGTACATTTAATGATCTTTTGCTGATTGTGTGCTTGGATTTTGCAAAATTTGATTAAAAGCTACAAAAAATAAAAGCAATACTCAATTTAAGGTCATCAAATTATAAATTTAGACTTTTGATCAAATCAAGTCGACACTTTGAAATTTGTTTGATAAAATCTGAATAAAATTCATTGAAGATTAAGAAGGGATGAAACCTGTGAGTAATAAATCTTGATTATGAAAATTTAATCAGTCACAAGCTTAAACCCATCTGACCCATATTTGATTCATAGTGCAATCGTATGATTGATACACTGATAGATTGATGGATAGCATTAAATAGTAATATCTAAGAATAGAATGAATGGATTATAAATGCTCTCAAACGTATTGTAATTGAATTATTATTTCTTGAAATTTCTAATTATATTATCAATTTTTTGATGTGCTCCAGTTCTTTTATAACGAAAAGAAATATAATTGCATTCTTTATTTTTGAGTCTTTTAGGATGTAAAATAAGCAGCGTTTTTGCTTTAAATGCTATACTATATTGGAAATGGAAAAAAATTTTAAATTCATTTCTGCTCTTACTTTATCTAATCTGCTTTTATCGCAAGATCATTAATGATTGAATAATTGAGAAAATAACGGATTTATTAAGTAATCAAATTAATTATCAGTCAAATCACTAAGCAATAAAGTTAATTATTAAAATTTATCATATTACGCCATTACAAATTTTCCACGTTTACACGCTTTTATTCAAAGTGTTAACCGAAATATTGTAAACCATCACTTACAAGACGAAGCTAACAAATAAAACCAAGCTAATAAAGTACGCAGAATTTTTGATTATTAAATAAGCTCTCAGATATCTTAACTTCCACTAGCATAAAAGAAGCAAATATTTACGAAGACATACAATATATCTAAAATTATTGAAATTAGTCAATAGAGTATCGCAAGCACTGCTAACGAAAGCCAAAATAAATTATGAATGGCTTACAAACAGAACAAAAATAGAAATAATAGAACAATAGCCAATAACAAAATACTTTAACATTGCCTTTTGTGAAAACACAAATAAATACACGTAAAAATATTACGTACTGCATGAATGACTTTGCATACTTTCAGCAAATAAATAACTTTTATAAAATACTTTCAGCTAAAAACTTTCTTCACCAGAAGTTTCTGATAAAAAAATTTTGTGCCACCAATTAACATATTTCCTTAATATTATTTGATTAATTGATGAACGTATTTGTCATCATTAATGTTATCAATGCATGCAGTCGCTGTATTGTACAAATAATATTATTAAGTCGCTGTATTGTAAATCGCAATTATTTTCACTCACATGGAAATAGAAGAAAATTGAAAAAAGTAAAAGCTTTTGCATAGTTGTTACTAGCAAGTATAAGTTCGCAACTTTAAGAGTGTAAGTGACTTTCTACACTTTTTGCATTTCAATTATTCAAATTCAAATTGCGTCTACTTCTTGGCAAACAACAAATTAAGATTGAACATTAACAACAAAAACTTCTGATCAAATAATTTTTTGGCACTTACTGAGATATCAGTAAATTTCCTTCAATAAATGCTACTTATAACATTTTTTCAAGTTCATTGTTTCAGTAAGTTCATGCATTACTTTCAAATGTTGTAGTAATGTCAATACGTGTTTTTGTTATTATCATAATTCTTTGCTCACAAGTTAGTTTCAAAATGAAAGTGAAAAAATAAAAAAAGTTTTCATTAAAAAACATTTTCAGTAGCAAATAACAAATGAAAGTCAGTCATTTGATAGTCAATTCTCATATTACATTTTCAGATATAATAATTTTTATTTTCCTAAAATGAAGATTCGAATTAAAATTCACGTTTTATAACAACGAAAATATCTCTGCTATTCCGTCTTGATTATTTAAATGCTGAATGCTGAGATGAGAGGTGGGGATATCTAAAATCGCTTTCCAAAAAGTTCGTGTCAATATCAATTACAAGAAAATATATGCAAAAAAGTGTTGCTCTCATTTAATATTTATCAAACATCAATACAATTCGTAATTGCTTCTGAAAAGTGTTATTACTTTTTAGGAATGAAATTAATGGAAAGTTATCAGAGAATGGGCGTTTTATGGATGATAAATAAATAAATAAATAAATTTAATCCAAAATCGTGAGATGTAATTTTCTTAAACCGACTTTTTAGACGAATATTTGGATAAGAAGCACAAATATTTTCAGATTCCGATCAATTTTCACGTAATTTATCCTTAAAGTCATCACTTACTAAGATTTAGAACCAGTAATGAATTTAACTGGTGGAAATAAAATTCTTTGGTACGAACTTTGAACTATGACAAAAATTTTTCGCGTTTTTTCAAGTTCTTAGCAACGGAATTCCATAATTGATAATATACTTCACTTACTGTTAAGTTTTTCCTCAATTTCATTTGATTTTGCAATTTTTAGAATGACAAAAAACTACAAGCTGTGACTGTTACAAATGTAAGTATTGTAAAGTTTTGTGATTGTTTTCTCAAGTAAATATTTATTATGCAAAAATAACCAATTAAAATAACTTTGCTATTAAAGACAAAACTGAAAATTGATAATGCTAAATACATATTGTAATCAGAGGCCGAAAAGAGAAAGTAATAAAAAATTCAAATTACAACAGTAACTAAGAGCACATTTGTTTATAAGACTGATTAATCCTTTAATGCAATAATTTTGAATGACTAAAAATTGATCTAAAAGGGTTACTAATTAAGTGTATGTTGGTGAATTCATATAGGCATCAGA